CAGACATCTCCTCAAGGCTGTGTGCAGGACAACTGCTCAATCTCTTTCTATAAAGCACTTTCTAAGTAATTTTTTTTTTTTTTCCCCTCTGCAGGAAAAACTCTTGGAGCAGGAGCCTTTGGGAAAGTGGTAGAAGCCACTGCTTTTGGGCTGGGCAAAGAAGATTCAGTCCTCAAAGTGGCTGTGAAGATGCTAAAGTGTAAGTCCAGAGCAACTTGAAAAGGCTGAAATCCCCCAAGCTCCTTTGGGCAGGGTGTAGTGTGTGTGTTCAGCACATGTTGGTGTGTCCAGGCTGCAACACCAACATTTTTAGCTGTTTCTGTGATAAGCACTGGGTGCTGGAATCATGCTGCTGTCACTTTTGTGGATACACATGGCCAGAGGCACAGGCAGAAGACACAATTTCCTCTCTGAGTGTGTCTCCTCCTTGTATCCTATCTCTCTACACCTTTTTTCTGCTGTCCACCATCATCTCTTCCTGGTCCCTCCCTCCTTCACCCAGCCCTTCTCCTGTCTTGCAGCATCGGCAGACACGGATGAACAGGAGGCTCTCATGTCCGAGCTGAAGATCATGAGCCACTTGGGACACCATGAGAACATTGTTAACCTGCTGGGAGCATGTACCTATGGAGGTGGGACCCCACAGCCCTGCTTCCCCCATGCACCCCTCAGAGATTCTCTGAGGCCCCTACCCCTCCCCAGTCTCCCAACAGAGATAGCTGATGACCCTGCAGCTCTGCCAGGGCCTGTGGCTGTTTCCAGACAGGCTTACGTGCAGCCTGGGCTCTGCTGCCCCTGAGAGACCAGCCCTTGGGACAGGTCACAGTAATGTCACTTCTGAAACCCTTTCTGCTGCTCTCCCAGGGCCAATCCTCGTCATCACCGAGTACTGTCGCTATGGAGATCTGCTGAATTTCCTGAGGAAGAAGGCTGAATCCATAATTATCCAGGACTCTTCCCTGGACACCTCTTTAGACAGTGCTGCTGATTACAAAAACGTTGATGTAGAGAAGAAGTACATCCGCAGGTAAAAGCAGAGGTCTCATGGCCACAGCTCTGAGCAGTGCAGGGAGGAGGGTGCAGAGGGAGAGATGAAGGCCAAAGGACTGGGGATTTGCAGAATACCAGGATGTAAAAGCCACTGGGGATGTGTTTGTTTAGACTCAGTTAGAGTTCTGGGTTTTCTAAAGTCTTTGACAGCAGTCATTGAACATCCCACAATAAATCCTGGTTTCCATCCATTCTGCCCTGCCACACCCTGAAATCAGAACTTCTTGGCTTCTTGTGCTGTTGGGTGTGTGGGGTTTGTAGGACAAGAGGGTGAGGGCTCTAACAGCCTGTCTCACTCCATCTCTGTTGTTTTCCACACAGTGACAGTGGCTTTTCGAGCCAGGGTTTGGAGACTTATGTTGAAATGAGGCCTGTGTCATCATCATCATCTTCAGCGTCATCAGACTCTGCGCAAGCCAGGGGTGAGTTAAAGGCCAGTTTCTGTTTCTGTGATTTCTTTACTCTGGCCATCTTGACTGGTTTAGCTCTAGGGACCCGAGAACACAGCATGGCTCACATCACTCACCAGGTTTGCAGCAGGTATAAAACTTTGCTTTGAATTTCAGGGAAAAGCTCAGAGGAAGAGGATGAAGCCAGGGAGGACCTCCGTCCCCTCAACCTCTCTGACCTGCTACAGTTCTCCAGCCAGGTGGCCCAGGGCATGGCAAGAGTGCCAAGCAGCCAGCTGCCCCCAGCACCCCAGCTGGGGGACACCAGTCCAGCCAGCAGGCACTGGCCATCCTGGCTGCACAAGGCTGAGGATGGTTTTGGATGGGGTGGCCAAGCTCAAGCAAGCTGGTGCTGGAAATGGGCCTCTCTGCTCCATTTGTTGGGCTCTGACCTGCTGGACCACAGTGACTGATGCTCCCTTCAGAGCCTTTGTCACCCATGGGCTCTGCTCAGGCCACCACAGCAGGGTGGTGTTATGGGGGGGAACCCAGGGCCATGCATCCTGCTAGTCTCAACATTATCTTCCCAGCTTTTACACGAGGTCAGGAACTTTTGATGTGAAGCTTTCTTGCATTGGCAGCTTCCCCACTGCCCCGGGGACAGGGAACTGAAAGTGGCTGTTGAGCTGTCTGCTGGAGCTGGTTCGTTCACAGCATCAGAAGGTAGCTGTGGCTGCTTTGGGGATGAGAACACAGTGTCAACAATCCTTGGTCCTCAGCCTCCTCCTGGAGGGAGGATGAAGGCCCCACAAGTGACTAAAGGACACGGCCTGGAATAGCAGTGTCTTAGCACTGCAAATGGAATGGCTGAAGATGCCCCTTGCACGTGACACGGTGCCCCTTGTGGGGGCTGCTCAAGCAGAATGTGTCCCCGTGCCCTGCAAATGTCATTTTGGTGACAGCCCCCAGCCATAGGGCATCAGTGGGACTGCTGGGGGATGTGCCAGGGTCTCACAGCGCTCTCCTCTCCCCAGTGCATCCACCGGGACCTGGCAGCCAGGAACGTGCTCATCTCAGCCGGGCGGGTAGCCAAGATCTGCGACTTCGGCCTGGCCCGGGACATCATGAACGACTCCAACTACGTCGTGAAGGGCAACGTAAGTAGCCAGGGGGGACAGGGGAGGGCACGGGGCCGGCGTGTGGCTGGAGCAGGAAGGGCAGGGTGGTGGGAGCCTGCAGACTCTGCTCTTCCAGGCCCGCCTGCCCGTGAAGTGGATGGCCCCAGAGAGCATCTTCGACTGCATTTACACCGTGCAGAGCGACGTGTGGTCCTACGGCATCCTGCTCTGGGAGATCTTCTCCCTCGGTAAGGAAGAAGCAAGCTTGCAAACCTCCTTTGTTCTACATGTTTACCACTGCCTAATGCCTCTGCAGAGAAATTGCCAAGGAGGAAGGTTGACAAAAATCTCAATTTTATCCGGGTTATGTTTCTAGAGGAACCATTTAAAACAATGGATCCTGGGAATCCCCTGAGGAGGAGTAGTGCTGGCTCAGGCAATGCTCCAGGCTGCCCCTTCCCACCCCATGGGGCTGGAGCGGCAAAGCTGCTGGCCTGAAAGCCACCTCTGCTCTGACTGTCACAGGTAAAAGCCCTTATCCTGGCATGGTGGTGAACAGCAAGTTCTACAGCATGGTGAAGCAGGGGTACCAGATGGCCAGGCCCGACTTTGCTCCCCTGGAAATGTGAGTGGGTGCACCAAGATGCACACAACGGGTGACAGGGTGGATGGAGCTGCTTTGTGGGGTGCTGGCAGGGAGATGACAGGAATCTTGGTCACAGATTCCTGTCATGGCCTGTTGCTTCCAGGTGTTTGCTCTTGAGGTTCAGGTTGGATCCTACCAGGCTGCTCCTACCTCCTGTAGGAAAGCAAGACCTGGGGCAGTCAGTTATGATGCTCCATCCAATATCTCCTGTTTAGGGGCAGGAAGATGGCAAAGCTCGCATTGTACATTTACACTCCTGAACTTGGTGGATTTTTTTTTCCAGTCACCTACTTTTGACTCTAGGACTGTGAGAAAAAAAAGCCTGAGTAGTTTGCAGGAGGAGAATGAGTTTAAGCTTCAAGAAGAAAAAGCACTGAAGGCATAAAGGCCCTTGCTGAGAGAACTTTTCTCCATCCACTTCTGTGCTCAGCTCTCCCTGGAGCACTGCACGTGCCCTGACCATGGGTTTTATAGACAGGAGGACAAGGACTGCTCTGTCCTGTGTCCCTGAAATAAATGCTGTGGGGAAGAGCCTGGGGGTGCAGCAGGTCTGTAGCAGCCCAGTGCAATGGCCCTGTCCCTGCCTGGCTCTGCAGGTACAGCATCATGCAGGCCTGCTGGAGCCTGGAGCCCACCCAGCGACCCACCTTCGACCAGATCGGCTGCTTCATCCAGAAAGAACTGGAGGTGCATAAGGAACAGGTGAGGATCTTTGGAGAGGAGAAGGGGGAAGGGAGATGTTTTTTTCTCCTCTGTGAACATAGTTCCTGGACAACTGTCCTGGTGCTGTCCCTTACCTTTAAATATTGAAAGCAGTTCAGTGTGGGTGGGAAGTGCAGCAAGGTGTCGAGATCTCCCTCTGCTGAAGGGTTAAGTCACTCCCCACTATGACCCAAGGAGGGTGGAGAAAGACACACAGCTCTTTGCAGCAACTCCTGGTGCAGCAGCCCTGCCTTGTTGCCCTGGATGAGTTGTGCTGCCCTGTGACAAGCTGTCCTGCAGCCAGCCCTGCCCTCTGAGCACAGCAAAGGGGAGCAGGGAGTTGGCGTCCCCAGGCTGGTCACCCCTGCAGAAACAGATGTCATACACCACTGAAGGGACTGAAACACTTTGGGGTGGGGTTGGTGGGGTGTGTTTTGCTATCCAGGACTACACCAACCTGCCCTCCACTGCTGAGGAAGACAGTGGCTGTGATACCTCTGGCTGCTGTGAAGAGTCCTGCGAGCAAGAGGAGAGTGGTCAGCCCCTTCTCAAGAGCAACAACTACCAGTTCTGTTAGCTGGCACCACCAGCCCGGGGTAGATCCCTGTCCTGGCTCTGCAGGGAGCCCAGCTCTGCTCTGCTGTAGGACATGGACACCTCCTGCTTTGGCTCTCCTCCCTGTGCTTCCTGAAGCGTGAGTGTTCGGACTCTCTCACTGGAAGGCTAACGCTGGGGTGGTGGCTCAGAACCACGACTCCCCAGTGGTTGGGTGAACTTGTGCCCCACTAACAGGACAGAGGGGCAATTGTTTCTCAGGTACAATAGAGGTAACCAGTGCTCCTCACGTGAGCACTGAACACAACCCCACTCCAGGAAAGAATGGCAGCTTAAACAGATGTGGAAATAATCAACAGCACACATCCTACAACAGTCCTTCGTTGTCAAACATGTAGCAACCACTGCCTTTGTTATGTTACAGACATGCTCTTGTACATATTTCCCTGTGTATTTTTAATAGTACAGCTGAGGTAATGTTTCCATAAGCTAGGGCCTAATGCCCTTAAAGGTATTTTCATCTAGCTCTTGTGCAGGGTTACCAATGCCACAGCTGGTGCAGCCCTGTGCAGCCATCAGAATTAGCTAAAGAACCTCCTTAGCTGCACCAGATGTGGATCAATATTCCAGGTACAAGCACTGACAGGTTCAGGCAAACTCCAGGGAGCTAAAACTGCTGCACAGGGGCTGGCCTTTGTCATACTGTGAGCAATTACACTGTGGGCCACTTCTGATTATATTACACCTGGTTTTATGCTAACACCAAGTGATTCATTCCTCCTTACTAAATAAAAAGCTAACACATTTCTGTCTGTCAGCATTACAAAGAATAAAATGAGATGTTTAACAAAACAAGCCTCTTCCAGGGGCTTTAGAGACTGTTTTCAACAGGGACGGGATCAGAGCATGGGTGATGCACTGGCCCATACTCTCTCCTCCTGCTCCACACTCTCCAGTGCCAGTTCTCAAAACCATTCAATCTTGTATAATGCAAAAATGTATTAAAAGGAAGATTTTTGAAGCATTTTGCTCTGATAAGCCTGTCTGTAACTGGGAAAAATGAAGTAGTCCCTGCACATGGATATAAGGGGGAATGATGTCAGTTGTGGTGAGGGGTCATCTCTGAGAGTGGTCACTTAGTTTGAGGCATGTGCTTAGGGCAGAGGCCCAATGTCTCAACCTTCCCCTGGCAGAACCTCCTGTGGCAATGCACAGGAGCTCCAGCCCACCCTATTAAAACACATCATGAAGAGAAGTTACCCTCATCTGCTGCAGCCTCTCTCTTCTAAGGAATTCACTTCAGAAGCTTCCTGGAAAACGAAGGACAAGGGCCAGGGGAATGAAGCAGCTGCAGAAGTACTGTCTTGCCACATCTAAGAACTACACTCTAGGTAGATTTAGCAGGATAATTTTATTTGACATGCTGGTGGGGTGGCCTAAGCCATTCCTTGAGCTGCTCCTCTCAGCCCACTTTGCTTCTGAGAAGACCAGACTTCCCCTCACCACCACAGCAGTGCAAACTGGACTAGTGCTGTACATGCACACAGTGTTTGTGTTCTCCCCCACTGCAGTCCTCCAGGTTTTGTACACAAAAACCAAGTCACTGGGCCAGAGTTTCACCCCAAAAATTGGAGATAATTTATTAAATTTTATCACTGACTGAAAAAAGTCACTAATGTCTCTTAAAATAAGTTAATGTTCTTAACAGAAAAACCCCAAGCTGTAATTACTGCATTTGCTCAGACTTAATACATTTACTTTAACAGTATGGTACTCAATAGGTTCCCCTTCACAGAAGGGAGTTTTCAACCACACCACAAGCCTCTGAATCTCCCCCCACGCTCCCTCAGGCAAAATCAACTCCCTGGATGACAAATTAGCAGTCTAGCATCCTCTCCTCCACAGGTAACAGCAAACACCCACCCCCTGTCATGGCCAGCAAGAGGGAGCTGGCAGCAGAGAACACTGTGTAGCTTTACCACTGCAGGGCCAGAGCTCTGAGCCCAGCTCCTCTCAGGGAGCTGCTGAAGCAGCAGAGGCTTCTCTGACCTACACGGTGCTGGGTGCACCCAGGCAGGGCAATATGACAGCTGAGAGTGCTGAGGTTGCACACGTGGATGCATCTCTCCCAGTGCCTCCTGTGAGGAAGGAACACTGAACCCTGCTTGTTCTGGTGGCACCACGTTCATCATTTCTCCTTGATCGCAGAGTCAGCCTTTGCAATTCTGTGCTAAGGGCAGGACAACAGAAAGGCAAGGCCTTGAGCAGAACAAAGCTGCTGACAACAAAAACAGTGTCCAGGGGACAGTACAGAAATTTTGAGTGTCCTTCCCCCTTTCCACAGCCACCACCTTGCACAACACTCAAGAGCCCTCCAGTGAGCTTGGTTACCCCACAGCTCACCTGGTCACTTCTTACCTTAATATAAAAAACTCTGTTCCCTCACATGTTTCAGCTTCTAAATGATTAGTGCTTATGGGAAGGAAACAATTCTAGAAACTTTTTGCAGCCAAAACACGCACAATCCTGGGCCCAGGAGTGCAGTCCCCAGGGAGGCTCTGTGTTAAAGCTGCATGGCTCCCCAGCTAAAAGCTCCTTGTTGCCAGTGGCTATGAGAGCTCTTCTGGACATTCCAAGCAGGAGTCTGTGTCCTAAACTAATCTACTCAGAACACTTTGGGGGATGTTTTCTGAGCCATCTGCCTTTCACACCTGCTCCCACACCCCAGCCCTGCCACCAATACACACAAAGAAGTCAGCAAGCAAGATTCAGAATTAAAAAACCTGTGTGCTTGACCATGCCTCCTCCCACTGCCAGAAGCACCCTCGCCTCTCCCTTCTCCACTCGCCAGCTGCAGGCAGGGCCACGTTTCACCCCACCCGACAGCGGGTCCATCGCCCGCCTCAGGAGGCAGCCGCTGCCTTCAGCAGGGGGGTGACAGACCCGTGCTGGCAGCAGCCATCACGCCATCAGGGAAGCACGCAGCTCTTTGGTCATCAACAGCAGTCAAAGCCACCGGCACCACACCTCCGACCTGTAAAAAC